TCTGAGTGACGACAGGCTGTGAACTACTTTGTGAGCGGAAGAATGTTGTAGCGAAATGTCATGCAGGGCACCAGATCTAGGCCGACACAATGTCCGTGGGTGAATGGTAGGTCAACTAGTCTTCGGCACAGGGTCGGGAATGTGGAGGTGCCCGGCCGGCCTGAACGCTTGCAGAAGAAACGAAAGGGTTGCGCAGGTACTGTTGAGAAGATTGATGCCTGACTACGGGATAAGTACTATGCCGCACAGATTGCGCGGCCTGTCTGTTGTCTCAACACGTTCCGCTGAAATGCAACTACGTGTTTGCACCTTTGGGTATCATTGAGCCCATCCGAAACCGAAACGCCATTTCCATCGTGCATGGGCTAAACAGACATCTCGCTATCGCTCGGAGATCCGAGGTCCTCGATAATGCTTGACTCTGGCGGCTGTTGAGTCCCCGGAACCTGCAGTCTCGAAGTCGATCCAGACAGATCGTCGCTCCCATCGACTTGTTGAGCCTCACGAGGAGCTTGCACCTCTTCGTCGGAGTCGTCACCTTCAAGTTCAGCTGCTAGCATGCGCTTGATTCTGCGAGCGATAATAGTGTCCTTGCGCACGTCGTCTTTGGTCAGCAACTAAGAAGCGATGTCAGCATAGGTCTCTGAGAGTATTGAAATGCGGGGGATGGACTTACCTGTGAGCAACCATTGACTGGGCACTCAATGGCTCTCTGACCGTCCACCCTGTGACCGCCCGATCGGATCATATCGAGAACGGCATTCTTCTCAAAGGTATGAGGACACTTTGTGCTTGTGTAGGGGTCCTTGAACTGCTGGTATGTGATGGGGCACCTCGTGCTGATGGTCGCTTTGTCTACTACGATGTCATCGTCGTCGTCGAGGTCGCCTCGGCGTGTGTCCGTAATGCCAGGCGCTGGCGACCCGGACTCATTGAACCATGTGTCTTCATGACCAAGTGTGGGACCCTCGTCGCCATATTTGGCATCGTGTACCGTACGCTTGAACTCGCGGTAATCGTTGTTGCGTGCATAGCGCGCTGTGTAGGAAAGTGACGTGTAGGCATCCTTGTCGCGCTGCATACGATCCGCAAACAGCTCACTTGCGCCTGTGAGAGCTACGCGAGAGCCATCGAGGGGTGTAGGACCGGGGGTAGGTCTGTCGTCCATCTCCTCGTCGTCACCCTCGTTCTGTGCCCGCTGGCTCGCTGCCTGAGTCTGGGTTTGCCTTTGTGTCTCCCGCTGTGTCATCTGCGTTCGGTATTCGTCTGCCGACCGCCCGGGCGCAGTGTTCCTTAACCACTCCAGCGCTTCCTCGATGCGCTGCGCGGCGACACCCGAGTCGATGACAGCGCGCATGCTTTCTTCCAGCTTGGTGGTAGCCCCATCCACATTAGTCTGGAGCTCTGCCATGATACTTTCTTCCTCGTCTTTGTCGTCCAAACTCTTGCCCACGTCCCACTTCTTCTGCCGTCGCTCGATGTACCCAGCATGGTCGCGCAGCATGTCGTTAATGTTGGCCGCTGTACTGGTGACATGCTCGGTAGCCTGCTTATTGTGCCTCTTGATGTCATTAATATTGCGACCTTGTAGTTCCCTCAGGGCTCGCGTCGCTTCGGTATCGAGGGGATGCGATGGCTTCTTGTACGGTGGAAGGACGTCTGCGCTGCGGTTGCTACCGGCAGTTCGCGCTGGAGTGGAAACTCCAGACGGGCGACTAGCAGATGGCCTGGTAGTTCGGTGTCGAGAGGCCATGTTGTTCTGTTCAGTGCGATTTTGCTATGTGAATGCGATGTGGTGCTGCCCAGGTGTCGCGTTGGGCAGAAACGGCGCCAGACACGATGATGCGGGGAACGCGTCGGGACAAATGCTTTAGGACTAGCGTGCTCGCCAGGTCACGTGCTACAAATCGAGGGTTACCCAGGTATGGCCGCCCTCTTGTCGCAAGGCCTCAAATCGAGTGTCAGTCTCGTGAACATCAAGTCATCAATGTCACAGGAAGCAGTTTGTAGTCACGGTGTTCAAGTCGCGATCTGCCTGCTGCCCAGTCTTCGAACAAAAGTCCGAACACCATGAAACTTACATCAAGATGAAAAGATGCCTAGCGTCAATGACGGCTCTACACCTGTTTAGTTGTCCCCTTGTATATGGTGCTTCCGCGATGTAGCTTTACGGCACAGCGAACTATTCTCGGAAATTAACTGCACGAAGCGATCTCGTCACATACCCTGCACCATTACCGTTCTTCTAATCCTGGGTCAGACCTACGGCAGTCATGCAAAGCCGGCAGATAAAACTGGATGCCCAGCCGGGAGCACACCACAGCACCGGGATAGTAGGATCAGGGTCAGATCATCTCTGCATATACCATGCCTTTCCCAAGCCTTTCCCAAGCTTTCTCCAAGCTATTCCTGGGCATTTGCCCAAGCTTTCTCCAAGAAACTCCCAAGAAACATCCAAGCGATGGCCAAGTAACGGGCTATTCCTGGACGTTTGGCCAAGCGCCTGTGGTCAGATGGGCGGTCGCTGACTTGGCGTGGTCTCATGATAGGCCTTGGTATTGCCGGGCTCGAGACTCTCATTTCAGTATTCCCGGACTCGAAGCTCTTACCTTGAGTATGTCGAAGGGTAGAGAAAAATATTGAGATCTTTGAAAAGGTGGTTATAGTTGTATTTGGGTACTATCAAAATCTACGGTCTACGTCTTGACTCCATCGACGCTGACCGATGCGTCCATTATCCATACGTCCGAAAAAGCGTGGTATCATAATATGTTGACAAGAAAATAATGACACCCAAAGTGCAAATACTCCGGCGTCCTAAGCAGCCATCAACCGCTTCCCAAGTGCTGTCGTTACCGTAATGTTCATGTACGCCCGAAAGATGCATGCCCTGCGTGCTATGGTAAGCCGCATTAAGAATGCGGTATGCGTGCGCACGTTCCGACGGACAAGAGTTGTGAGGCGTCCTTTTCCAACCTCCGTTATCGTCTTTCGCGTCGACGGGTGCCTCGACCCGCGTGGCGGCGCTGGTGTTGCTTCCAGATATTCCATGATATGATTTCGGAGCTTCACCTCATCACGCTCGTGATGGTAGTTGTAGTTTGTGGCGCCTTGTTGGACAGAGGGAGGCCCTTCTCGATATCGCGCATTTTGTTGGCGTTCTTGCCCGGGGGCGGCGAGTTGAGTCTGATGCCTGTCCTTCGGTTTTCGCGGTTCTGCTTGCCGGCGTCGTTGTTCGCGCGGCCGGTAAAGCGACGAGACGCACGGCGAATGGATGCGCGAACGTCCCACTGGCGCTTCTTCGCAAGCCACCAGAGTACACCCGATGCGACTGTGTTGATGTTAGCTCGAGTATGCTGGGACGTGATGTGCAGAACGTACTGGATCCGAGCACGACTAAGACGGCGACCACAATGATCGCTGCGATAGCACCTCCCGAGAGCGAGAAAGCACCCTTCTGTGTACCCGCAGCGCCAGCATCGCTGGGGTCTTGCGGGTTGTCGCTACCGCCATTGTAGCCGGGAGGAGGAAGCTCGCTGCCCGAGGAGGAGTCCTGAGCAAGGGCGAGCAGAGGGAGGAGGAACGAGAGGAGGAGAGGCCTGCTCATGATGTCGATGTGCCGTGGAATGCGGCGTGGACGGGAGGATGGATCGGATATGAGGTGACACGAGGCTGGCGTGAAGGACGTTCGATCAACTGGAGGAATACCAACAACTCGCTACCAGAACGGAGGGCATGTCTCTATATTTGCGTGGCCACCTGCGAACATCTTTTATCCAAGCCAATACCTTCGCCATCACTCGTCCAATACCCCGCCAGTCTCAGGGCTTCTCGGCGGTTAGCATCGTGCGCTTGGACGGCAGACCAGGTTGGCTGCCGGAGAGTACATCAGGCCATTCTCTTAATATAGCGGCATTGGCGTCGAGTTTTGTCGGCTTGGAAGGATAAGCCGAAAGGATTGGTAGGGCGTACTGGGTAGTGGGCGCGTAGCTGTGTAGACGAAGATCACCGTGCAGCCGAGCTAGCAAGGGGTAAAATGTGATTGGACGCACCCCGGTCTGAAGCGCCCGGCTAGCTATGTCGCCGCACACTTTCGTTTCAGGGGAGCCTGCAAGGCGACGACTCCCGTCGTCCACCTCACGGCGTACATGTAGCAGCTGCCGCTTATTGTAGTCGGTGAGCCCGTGGTATCGAGGTATTTCTGGCTCCTCATCTCCGGTGCAGTCCACGTTAGCCACCTACGTTTCGGCGCAGAGTGGACCAGACGACGTAAAAACAGTAATCACATGGCAGGCGACATGACCTTCTCTAATCTGGGGACAATTATCGTACGATGTTACCTGGGTATTCTGGTGGATGCGCGCTATCGGAGGGGTGCACCGCGATGATCAGTGTGGTGCGCTGCATGAGGCGACTTTGGAGTAAGTACTCACCCCTCCAGGGCTCAAAGGTTTGCCTTCCAATGTTCTTTGTCTACCGTCACGTGCCTGTGGCCGCGCGGGGTACAGAGCAGGAACATGCCGGATAGTTGTAATGGCAGCTGCAGAGCTTCATGGTAAGCTCAGCAAACTGCATGCAGGCATCCATTGATCGAGCGGCTGTGGGCAGACATGGATCCGACGTATGATCTGGAAGATGCGTCCAAAGCATACTGCGGAGTGAAATATGTCCGCCGTGAGGAGGTGCTTCACTGTTTCTATGTAGGTATGTCATGTGGGTGTTCTTCCTCTTTCCATCGCGCCTTCCACGATGTCTTTCTCAGTTGTCATGACCGAACGTGTGGCGTCATTCTGTCCAGCCGTGACTCCCTCGCGCCGATGAAGGAAAGAACGAAGGCAGGACGCCGCTGCAAACCTCGTCGCCCCTCACTCTTGTCTCATGACACTTCATCTTTGTCTACTGGTGCAGTCGTCTAGCACGTCGCTTCTCATCTTCTGCCTGCGTTGTTTCTACTACGGTTTCCTTGCGTCCGAACGCGCCTGGCAGTGCTGTCACTCACCATGGCCGAGTTGCCTCGACAAGGCAAGCAGGTGCCAAAGCGGCAGAAGCCTTCACGACTCAGACATGAAGTACGCCCCGAGTCAACCGATGACGAGCGAGATCGCAAGAAGCCTGTCCCCCAAGAACCTGACAGCGATGCAATTATTCCTGAGACTCAGCCGAATCAGGACGGATACTACGTTCGTAATGACTTCACTCCCGAGCGTGAGCCGGACCTCAGCGACCTGCCTACTAGTCCCGGTACTGCAGAATTGTTGCAGCGCACTGCAGTAACGAAAAAGGCGGACATTCATACATCAACCTGGGTTCCATTCGCTCTCAGCACTCGCACCAAAGAAACACCCGGATTGAACAATAACTCTGGACCAGCAGATGTTCCCACGTTCGCTTTCACACGTTCGCAACCGAGCCAAGTCCCCAAGAAGGCATCCCCCAAGGACAAGGCCTTTACCGCCAGGTCTGTTCCTAATACTGAGTCGACAATATCTGGTGTTCACAAGCAGGTTGTGCATGCATCTCAGGGTAAGCAATCACGCCATTTCAACCGATCTGACTAACATGCGAGTAGATGCCAGTGTAGCAACAGAGCCTGCGTACGTCTCACCACCAATCTTCCTGGGCAACGACGATCGCCACAAGACAAATCCTGCTACCGATCAGGAAGTACCTCTCTTCCAACAGCCGGCCGCCAAAGAGTCACAGAACGAGTCTGCATATCCTTTGTAAGAGCTCATAGCAAGCGCCCAGAACTCCACTGACTCACGTAGACCTACCCAACCGGACACGCCATCTAAAATGCCTCCTTCCGCACAGCCCGACACAAGGCCGGCTCCTGGAGCTAGTAAGGCCCGTGTTGTCAAGAAGAGCAAGAAAGGGAGAAAAGGACAGCTCTCTCAGCAGCGTGAAGGCCAACGACCTCCTCGGTCAAACGTTCTGGCACGGCACGCTCAACAGGCCATGACGACGGGCAAACCAGTTGCCGAGACATCCAACAACCCCCTTGCTACCGACGACGCAACAGTCCATACGTCGCAATTTCATGCAGTGCAAGCACCTGCCCCTATCAATGAACTCAATGGGCATGCATACGTTGAGCAGTCTCCACTGGTGAAAGAGTATGAGTGTGTCGCCCACGTTGAGGAGTCCTGCAACACCACTCAGACCATTCCGGACACGACTTTCCAAGAATTTCCAGAGTCTTCCGCTCAGCGCGAGTTCCCCACGTCCTCTATGTTTGTGACATCGACTTTGCCTCCGAAAGTGGACGATACGGAGCGCGAGCAACAGCCGCTCGCAGATGTTCACTATCAGGATCGCGGGCTGGTATCCGCCGAAGAACGTACTCCATTGCCGGCTCAAGACTCTGGCCTCCATATCCCAGACAATGACGAATCGGTTGCTGTGGCCATCCAGTCCAATCAGCTGCAGCAGCCCGAAATATGTGCAAGAAGTCAACAGTCTGCCCCACTGCCAAAGGATTCTGAAGCTGTTCTACATCGAATCTCCCACCAGGACGCATCTCACCGTGTGGCTAAACCTCGAAGAAAGCTACGACCCAGTGGCTCGGTACCAAACAGCCCCCAGGAGCAGGCCATGTCTCTCAGTGTTGATCAAGCAATGGAGAGCGTGAGAGTGGCGATGTTGGCTGACAAATTCCGCGCCAAGCATGAAAGCATGATCGTCGCTAAGCAGCGCGAAGCGGAAATTGCAGGACTTCAGGGCACGATCAACGATCATGTCCAGACTATCGCAGAGCGTGATGCGAGCATTCGAAGCCTGAAAGAAGCTTTCAGTCAACTCACCGACAAGGCCAAAACCAACCAGAAGTTCGTGCATGGCCTTCAGCAGGACTACGAGAAGCTGCAGAAGTCTGCTGCGAGCTTCCAAAAGCACAGCCAGATGACACTGACAGAGAAGATCACCGAGCTTGAGGATGAAAAGAAGACGTTGTACCGCGAATGCGAGACTGCAATTGACAAGCTTGCTGCAACTCAAAAGAAGATGAAGTCCGCGCTCGACGATGTCTACGGGCGGTTCATCATATCGGAGTCAAAGAGGATAGATCTTATCGAAAATCTGGGCAAGCGGGACGCCGAAATCGGAGAAGAGCGGAGAAAACGCGAACACATGGAAAATCAGCTCCTGTCAAGCGTTCAGAGTATTCCCGGTAAGATTGTCGATGCTTCTGATACTCTGGCCAAGAAGTTGGAATCACTCCAGACTTCGATTGAACAGGCGCCTGCCCATGACGATCGAAATGACCCGATCGAAGAATGTCTGGACGCTTTGCGAACCCTGCAGATGTCGCCAGCCTTGACAGCTAAGGACATCGAGAAGATGGAAAGCACCTTGCGTCTTGTGCACGAACGGCAAGTCATGATCCTTTTTTATTGTGCATCTTTGATGTGCTGACTAGTTGCACAGATTGGACTCAGGTCTTGATACCCTTTCCAGGACCATAAGGAGCGAACCAACTCCTGACACGGAACTCCGGACTTTTATTGGAGAGCGACTGAACAGCCTTCAGGAAGCGATGCTGAGATACGATGAGGCTACTACCGAGAACCGCAAAACGCAGGAGCTAAACGTTTCTCTTAAGGTGAAGCTCGAGGAGCAGCAGCAACATTCCCATCAACTCAACGAGCAAATCAAGGAGCTCCAGCAGTCCGAGGCCAATCTTCGGGCCCAATCCGATCAGCTGGAACGGGATCTGAATGAACTGAGAGTTTCTCCCCCCGTCCCACACGTCGACACGGAGAAGCTCGAGCGAGAAGCTGTTGACCTTCGCCAACAGTTGAAGAAGATTGAAGGTGACCTGGAAGCTGCAAATAACAAGGTCGAGACGATTGAGCAGGAAAGAGATACGTACAAGGTGAGCGGCGTCAATCTCCTGCCTACTGCGTCTTTTTTTGACGAATGACAGAGCCACTCCGATAATCTCAAGACGCAGCTACAGGAACTGCAGCAGAAGCATAGGGTAGGAACCACCATCCCGTCTCATGGCCTCACTAATTCTGTTGATAGGTTGAAGACGACGTCGCCATACGAGAGGAGATCGTCAAAGACTGCGAGAGTAGATTCATGGAGAAAGAACGCAGCTTGAAGAGCGAAATCGATCGACTCACAACTGAACGCGACGAGAAAGAAAACGCACATGAGGAAGTGAGCTTCAATTTGGACGCCGCGGATACCCAGATCGATGAGCTAGAGGACAAGATCCGCACACTTGAATCGAAGGCGTTGGAAACGACAAACATCCAAGAGCAGCTACGACAGACGACCGAAGAGCTTCACACCAAGGGTAGGGGCCATGCTGAGTTGAGTCGCCGTTGCGAGGAGAACGTCGAGAAGATCTCTGAGCTGCAAGGTCTGCTCGATAAATCACATGCCCAAGCAGTCGAACAACGTACGACGATGCAAACTATGCGCAAAGAGGCTGATACTACACTTGGCAAAGTACAACAAGATGCAAGCAATACGCTCCAACTTTTACACAATCAGATCTCTAAACTTCAGGAGGAAAAGAAGGATGTGTCGTCCAAAGTTCAGCAAGCCCGGACTAATGAGGGCAAACTGCGACAAGACGTAGCCGAACTACGCGCTGCAAAGGAAGCAGACGAATCTCGATGCCAAAAAGATGCCGATCAAGAGCGCGAGAAGCTGAATGAGCAACATCGCACCGTGATTGATGACTGGAACCGTCGTCTGACCGAGAAAGACGCTGCATTGGAAAAAGCAGAAGCGGATTTACGGCTCGCGGCAGACCAGTTCAAAGCCAAGCTAGCAGCTGATCGCGAACAGGCAGAGTTAAATATGCAGAGACTCGAACGACAATATCAGGATGTGATCAAGGCTGAACGCGAAAAGGTTTGCCGCAATCAACAAGACGGCTCCCAAGTACAGGGTGGCAAGAGTGTCTTACAGGATCCACGCGATGCTGTACAGGCAGCGAAGCCCCGGAAGAAACTTCAACGACAAAACCACTCGGTGCTCGACGGTCTTCATGGTCAGAGTCCTCACTTTGAGAAGCCATCATGGGCCTTGGACGCCGAGTTCTCACAGACTCAGCTTGACGATGACGACTTGTTTGCAACACAACATCACACTCATGAAACCCCCAACAACGCAGACAGCATTGATCACGAACCTGGGACGGCTACAGAAACTCAGGATCTTGGAAGTGCATCTATCTCGCAGGATATATTCAGCATGTTCCGACCGTCACAGCAAGATCCCAATCGCCAAGTCTCAAGCTCGTTGAATTTGAGTAGCATATCTCTCGACGACTTAGCAGCGCTGGATGAGACCCAGTCTGCTTCAGGTGCTATGCTTCGTGGTTACGTTCGTGGTTCTTCCAATCATGCCTCAGCCCACGCAAATGCAAAAGCAACGCCGGCAGCCGACAACTTATCTGTTGCTGGCTCTCACTCATCTCGATCATCCGGACGACCACGATCGCAAGCCAACACAGCGTCGCGAATGATGCCACCTCCTGGTAATAGCTTCAGATACTCTCAGTCTGGTACTGGTATGCTTACGGAAGAGCGCGGAGGCTTCACCCGACATACTACGTACGGAAAACCACTGGAGGCGCTCGGCGGTAGCGGCACAAGTGCCTTAGATCCTAGAGATCAAACTAGACCTTCGTCACAGCAGACCAGCAACCAGTACGACCCTCGACGCTCTGCCCAACCCGGATCACAGCACGGCGTGACGCATCCCACAAAGCAGGGTTACACCGAAAAGCGCAAGAGTAGCAGTGACTTGACGGAGAAGGAATCGGATTCAAAAAAGCAGCGGACCAGATCTCAGTCGCGCCCGTTGAACTCCTCTACTGATCTCCCTGGAAAACCCCCGTATGCTTCTGGGAAGTCGGCCTCGACTTCGCGCCCGAAGGCACAAAAGACCTTGTTGTATGGGCAGGCAAGTGCTTCAACTTCGTCCCGATCAAAGACTCCTGTCGCTTCCTCCCGTGTGCGTGGTCGTGTCACCCGTCAGGCTCCGTCTTCTAGTGGTGCGTACTCCCCGCGTGGCCAGCCTTCATCGCAGATATCCACTGGTGGTCCGACCCGTCGATCCTCAACCCGCCTTACTAGGAGCCAGAGTAAGGACGCTCGCTATGAACTTGTATCGAACTGAGCTAACTCGGTGGTGTAGGCAGGAACGGCACCGCATTCGGCGATGGCTATAACGATCGCTTCCGCCAGGAGCTAGACTAGCTGCATTGTCGAGTTGAAGCGTAGTAGGGTTTGTAGACGAAGCGCTTGTGTGAGGAGATCGTGTACTCTTGAAGATTGTTGCGGTCCTCGACATCGGGTCCCGCTCGAGTCGTTCGTGTGTGTGTTGTGTGTCTCGAGGTGCGCGGAGGGAAGACAGCGTCGTGCGCAGGTCCTTTTCGCGAGTAGTCTTTACGAAGGAAACGATAGAAAAGGAGAAAAGTTCAACATGGCGAGGATCCTGTAGATCTAAGTAGCAGACCTAATGCGAGTACAATATAGCCTGTATTATGTCAAGCTTGGCCTGCTCGCACAAGTGCAGACGCTCTCTGGGGAGCCATTAACGCCTGGAACGTGCTTCACCAAGTGATGGAGGGTGGTCGGTGCTGCTGCTGGAGGCTTTTGGCGCTAAGGTTTGTTATGTTGTCAGGCCTTTTCAAGCTCCCCTTTGCCACCCACACCACCAAATCACGGCCACCCACAACCTTCTTTTGCAAGGCTGGTGCGCATCTCAAAGGTCTCTTTGCACCTTGCCCATACTTTCTCTCTCGTTCCATGCCCGCCTTGAGCCTTTGCGGCGCCTTGACGATGGCGGCGATGCGGGAGTCCCAAATCGCTCCAGGCCTTGCCCACGACCACGCCGCTCTCGAACACCACTAGAGTTGGCGAGAAGCTGACCAAAGGTACAAAGAGCCAGCTCCAGCTTACTGTACTGTCGTACGAAGTGGTGCTGTCGAGATCGACGCCCTGTTGTTGACCTCGTAGCCGGCAAACTCTACCCCGCCTCAGGCGGCGGCAGCCACAACAGCCTCACCAGAAGGCGACAAGGCCTTGACCAGTAAGTGAGCTCCCTTCCCATCCAGCACCCAGCGGCAAGAGAGCCAGGTGAGATGTCGCTGCTCAGCTCCTGGCTGTTGACCTCCGCTGCTTGCCTCCGCGGCAACAGCGGCGGCGGTCATGTCCCCCGATGACACACTCTGGCATCTTCTTATTGACTACCATGGGCTCCATGATCCGCGCACCGAGACTGACAAGCGTTCGTAGCGATGATGCCGCCAAACTCACCGGCGATGCTGGCAGGTCTTGCTCGGACATGCGCGACCTCCGCCATGACCGCCGCATCAAGCGAGTACATGGTGATCTAGTCGATCTCCCCTCAGGTATGCTCTAGTCAGAGCGGCGTGAGTAACGTCCACCTCATCGACGCTGAGCGATTCGGCTGTCACCGAGTCGCAACTCCCCTTTCCTACCTCATGCGCACAAGACCCATGTGACCTTAGGCCTTAGGCAAGTCTTTGCCAAGTCTTTACCTCTTGTACTGGGTCCTTCTCTTTCTCTTCCAACAACTCGAGTACATCAACTGACGGATGTGCTCGCAGGTACCTTCTACCTTCCGAGTCTGCTCTCCCTGGCCGGGCCGTTCGATGGTCATCCACAACCGAATCGCCTATCATACATTGACGCGCCGCCCACCCGGACAGCAAGAACATGTCACAGCCCTAGGTAAGTCTGTCTTCCTTCTTCCTCAGATCATACCGACCGACACGCTGGGTGAGCATCTGGCCCCGCATCCTGGGTTGTGGTTCTTCATACCGCATCCTTCTTCCCGGGGCCTATATTGAAGCCATGACGCGGTGAGTGGGTTTGTTGGTCCTTGTTGGGTGCTGCTGCAGCAGCGCGTCTCGAGCCCAGAGACAAACTGGAATGACGATCAGATACCGTCGCCAATCTCTGATGGCAGAGAGGTCATAGCGATCCATGATCGCGGAGGGGGGCAAATGACCGCATCGACCCTTGACTGTTCCCCTCGCCGTGGTAGCCATCTACCGGTACGGCCTGGATGGTTGTCAAGCTCGTACATTTCGTCGCTTTCGCACTGTTGTCGTTGTCCTGCTGTCGAAAGGCTACCGACCTTGAGTAAACTGACACCTTTTCTAGATTCGGCATCGGCATCGACCTTCGCAACCCGTCTTACTCCTTTGACGCCACCGCTAGACCACCAGATTCCTCAGCTTAGCTGCATCAGGTAAGTTCGACCCCTCTCTCCTACTCCCCGTTTCCATATCAGACCCAGGCGCCGGGTGTGCGAGGATGGGTCTTCCATACCCTTCTCTCGCATGACCCTCCGGTGATTCGGAGATCCAGCGCGCCGAGAGCAAGATCACACACGTCAGTCTTGAACGCTGGGAAAACCTTTGAAACGATACGGAAGATCAGCATGGTAATCAGTACCCTGGCGAGGGAGTACACACCCACACAAACAAAGAGAAGCTACCCGTTCAAGCATTGTGTAGCGACGCATGACTGTTCCATTCGCGCTGCCCTCGTCGGCAAATGTGCCTATAGGTTGTCATGCTCGTACATTCCGACAATCTGTCTCCGATTTGAGTACGAGCGAGGACGTTGGCTGACTCAATCGTAGTGTTCCGGGAGCGCACCAGCCGCAGCCATCATGATCTCATCAGACTTAGGTAAGTCCACCACACCGTCTTCTTTCTTCCCATCTCTTCATACCCCCCTGCAGGCGCAGGGTGTAGGAGGATCGATCTTCCATATCCTTACTCGTACACCCACGCGCCGAGATCAACAAAAGACCTGCAAAACCTCCCGCTCTCGGATATCTGTTCTTAAACTACAACTACCAGTCGACTGGGTCGATTTGCTCTTGGGCAAGGAAGGAGCAGTATCTTCAAAATCTGCAGGTCGATGCGTGACTGGTCCATGGCGAGCTAGCTCCTCCCCGCGAATGCCGCGTGTGGTTTGTCGCTCTCATACATCTTTTCAGACGATGACAGCCTCTTCAAGAACTTTGATGAGCATGTCCGTTAACACTTTAGTAGGTTTTTCGCGACGAGTTCGCAGACAATAACGACCTGTCGGAGTTGCCGACCTTGCAGTAGGTTGGTAGGTCGCATCGTCATGTCATCCTCGGTACGCATCCCTCATCCATTCCAACTCTTGCGCATATACCAAGTACCCGATGATGATACATCAACACTCATTCCAATCACCGAACATTCGCTGTCGAAACCTATCGCTGAAGGTTATCATTGGCTTTTCTTGACCGAGGTTTGAGCTTCGTTTTGCTGACATTGAGGCGCAGGCAGCTCTAGTCGAGACTATCTCCAACAAAGGTAAGTGCGCAGTCGTTCATGTCACTTGCCCACCTCCACTCATGATCATCAAAGAGTAAGGTTCAGATTGGACGACGCACGCTCGTCAGTTCCGATGGCGACATTCAACTGTTCTGAAGATCACACTTCCACTCTGTACCTCCTACTGTGTTGGTAGACTCCGCTGACCACGCATGTAGACGTTGGCATGACTGGATGCTCGACGAATTCGCGACCCAATTCCGCGACGGTTGAGTAAGTCTTTCTACCTCTTCCCACTTTGTTCATCTTCGTGATGATACTTTCTAAGCACGTCTCGCTCGTTTCGAATGTCCATGAGAACAACGAAAGTTCTGATCTTTCCTTCTTTTTCCCTGATCTTTCAGACTCTGGTATTGTTTCTGTGTTGACAAGCAACAGGCTCCTGAAGCACCGGCCTTGATAGCAAGGCTATTGGCGACAATGCTAGTAAGTTTGTCCAAGGCCTTGCCACCCACACGCCTCCACTGCAAGGGCCGTCTTCTCCGAGGTAAGCGTGCGACATTTCATCCAAGACTTGGCCAATGATGAGCAACCGACTAAGCATCTCTTCCGACAACCCATGAGGTCATTATCATGTATCATACTCTGAGGCTTCCCACTCTTCTGTTTGCTACCTGTCGTACATGTCTTGGCTGTGACTGACAATGCAGGAGGCTGGCTCGGTTTTGACCGCGATGCGAAACATCGACCAATGTACTGCACTCCACTCGTCTCCGTATGGAGGCAGCACATCGACATGATGACGACCAAAAGCAGAAATTGCCTCCGCCAGCAGTATTTCAGGATCGCGAACGTGTATCCGCTGACTCGCACGTTACCGAAGTAAGTCCTTCGCTTTCTCTCGCGTTTTGTTGTTGCAATGATGATTTACTCTGCCGAATACGCACATTTAACACTTACTGTAAATGACGGCTTGAGTGGCAACGTCGACAACCATATGCATGGCCCCTGTGGCAGATGCATCTAGGTAGTTGACATGTCAAAAACGGATCTGAGCAATTTGAACCTCATTCTCATCGCTTTTGTTTGTAGGATCGAGCTTGGCTAACGAGGTACGAGAGCAGGACATCGGCCCCATGGTGTGGCTTCCAGGTAAGCGCCGCTTCGCAAAGTCGGCGTTTGCAGTCGTTAAGCATCCTCACACGCCTCCAGGTCCGGTTTGGCGCGAGTTCCAGTCAAAGGTATGTACTGCCATCTCCTCCTCTTCCTGTTGTGTTATGATGAACCTGTTTCCCGATATACTTTAACCCTTACCCTTATGAGGGCATGACCTTACGAGGTCATGAACACGGGTGCGATCAGCCAGTGTACCTTGTTTATCGACTGCACTGCCTTTACCAGCAGCGATTTCTTGTGCCCCCTTCTGTACATTTCGGTTTTGAGTACCCGCCTTTACTGAACACGCGATGCTATCTCCGAATTTTGAAGCCTCTTCTTTGTCGAACTCCGCTAACAAGGCATGAGGCCAGATCGAGCGGTGCGGTTGGGCTTGCGCAGCATTATAGGTATCGACATCGTCGTAGTCGCTTTGGCATGCATCGCCGGGAACGTATGATCGAAGAGCCATCGCTCTCGTGCGAGGTCCGAGAAGCAGCGCGGAATGAACGACGGTAAGAATGACACCTCTGCACTCTTTGCTATGATTAGAAATTCTTTCTTCCGATTCCTGAAGACCTTCACATCTGTTTTCTTCTGTAACATCTCTGTAAAACTGAGCAACACATCTCCACTTCGTCTTGAGCATCCGATGATTGGCTGTCGCTGACAA